CATGGTAGTTGTTGTCACCTTTCTTACTTCATCTTCGATCGAAACTGCAAGAAAGTATTGTTCCATATCGAACAAGAAGTTCTCGATTTCTTTTGCATCGTGTGCCCCTCCGTAGGTATATGGTTCCTGAATTCTGAGTCTAGGAACATGCTCTCGGGCGGGGGCTTACCCATTGCCAACTGCACGTTGAAGAACTAGTAGTTGAGCTCTCAACGTTTCCATTTCCTCATGCAGATCAGCCAGGATAGCAACAACTTCATTCATTGCTGTGCAAGCCATTCGGCTTTCATCTACCTGGATGTGTAATTCACGAATTTTCGCTTCTGCCACCTCGACTTTTTCCTTGAGGTTATCCGTGGCATAGCCCAACCTAGTAGTTATCATCTCAAGTGCATCCACTCACTGTTTCGTATTCCTCTTTTGAGGATCTACCACCTCCGTGATGCTCGATTCAATTGGATCCATAGCTTTCTTCTCGAGGGTCTTGAGCCGCAGCTCTGATACCAACTTTCACAGGGTGCCTTTCTTCTTGACACAGAAAGGGACACCGTACGGTAGTAGTCGCTCCGCTAGACTACCTTTCGCCTTCTCTCGATCGTTTCGGAACGAAAGAAAATTTGATTACAATTTATAGAAATCTTGTAACATGAAATTGAAATGCATTGAATGTAAATTGATCATTGATTGCTTGAAATCTAGAAATTGCAATTGATGAAAGCAGGAATTACAATGGCTGGTGCAGAGGCGAATACTAGAAAGTTTGAAAAATTGTTTGAAAGACGTTTAAATTACGAGGAATCATACTAAACTTTTTGAATATCACATCTATTTTACAATTGAAATAAAATATTTAAAATGTGCGAATCAAAGAGCTAGTTAAAGTTGCGGTCCTTGTCGTGCATTGCACGTGAGTCTCACTGGTCATCACTACTATATTAAAAGAGGGGATGAGCGATACACTGTTCATTCTCGCACCTTGCGTTTCACACTAATCTGGTTTTGTACTGTTCACAAACTGGATTCCTACTATTCACGAAACTCAAATATCTCTTCCAGCTTATTTTTCTGCCACAGCTGGCTTTCTTCAACCGACTCTCAATTCATCAGTAAAATATCTCTTACAGCTTTTTTTCGGTCACAGCTGGCTTCCTTGAACCGACTCTCAATTCATCAGTATTCTTTTGGCGCAGCTAGCTTTCTTCAACAGGCTTTCTTCAATCGACTCTCAATTCATCAATATTCTTTTGGCGCAGCTGGCTTTTTAACCGACTCTCAATAACATCAATAA